AAGATAGTATTTAAAACTAGTCTACCAATACTTATATGGCTTTTGTTTAATATACCTAGGTTCCTAAACAGGGACCCAGATCGTTCGTTACTACTGGAAACGCAAGCTCGCAAAGCGAAATCATCTTTAGCTCTCTCGACAAAGTAACACTTCTGGACATCCTCTTAAACACCTACTTAAGCTTAGTTCGAATAATAACCTAAGGGCTTTTCGAACGGGAAGTTTAGTCCTAACGTGATTTGCATTTATCAAACTTTTGCTGTGTTCTTACGCAACAAAAGTACCATTTCAGTTCTAAAGAATCTATCCTGAGCTATACGTTCGGTAGATTACTTTTTTTGAGTTTCACTATATTTAATAGTTACCTGTGGTTTTGCCTCAGCTTACTATTCGGTTTTTTTTGTTTTTCACGTATAGACTAGTTTCAGTTTATATCACTCGTTTTGTCCATTTTTGTCCGTTTTCAGTGTGCATTTTAGTGTTTTTTTTAAAAAGGTCTTAAGCTTTTGTAAGCATCTATAACATAGTTTGCTTCAACACCGTCATGAAAAACTCATGCAAACGTCCGGGATGCCGTTTTGCTGTCACAACTGGCATGCAGTGCGACAACTGCAAAGGTTGGTTCCACGAAGCATGCACAGATCTGACAGCAACTGCTTACAACAGACTCAGCAAGTCAGAGCAAAAGTGGGTGTGTGTCACGTGCAACACAGACTCCGTAGTCTTGCTGAGTAACATCATTGTCCTACTGACAGGTCTTCGGAACAAGTTGTCAGTTAATTTGGAAAACGATAGTAAAAAAACTGATATACAAACAAGAGCGTGCAACGGACTCAAAAACAGGGATGTCGATAGGTATTCCATCGATGGAGCATCCATCAACACTAACGACGACGTGTCGAGGCTCAGTACCATCATTACGTCGACGGTACTGAACTCCCTAGGCAAACTCGGGTCTCCCAGCTCAGGGTCCCCGAACACAACAGCGGTTGCCAAAAACCCTGCAAGTGATTCGACCCACGTTAAGAGAGCCCAAAAGAACCAGGCATCACCGCCTAAGCCGAGCAACCCAAGTGTTGCTGCACGGAAAATAACTGGTGATTTAGTCGCACAGTCTACCCCCAAGACTGTTCGTCCGGTCAATAAAGAGCCCATGATTCATAAACGCACACTGACCTCCAAACAACAAGTTACTAAACCTGAACCCATCGTGAAACCTGGTAAATTAACAACAGTTCGTGACGATTCTCTCATTATCATGAACCTCGTTGACAATCCTGATCTTCCTCTCAGTCTGCAGGACAAAAACGACAGGATGCTGTGGGGTGAATTGAACAAGAAGCTCGAACTTCCTAGACTAGAGCCTTTGAAGGTCACCCGGCTCACTCGAGGAAAGGATTCTAAGCATCTAAATCACCCGAGGCTTCTCCGAGTAACACTTAAGGATGCTACCGACGTAGAGGACGTCTTGCTAGCAAGCCACTTGCTGAAATCAGATGGTAACGTAAGAATACTGCCCGACATACCGTACTCTGAGTGCAGTATCATACGAAACGTCCCTAAAGAATCTCGCGAGAAGTTTTTCCGCGGAAGAAACATAATTGTCCAAGGTATACCGGAAAATGCAGACCCTACTCAATCAAATTCTGACATCAGGGTATGGAAATTCATCAAACAGTCCTTGAGGCTCAAACACATACTGACTCAGCATGCGACGAGACTAGCCAAGAAGCACGGTGATCTTAGACCCCGCCTAATGAAGATAACCTTCCCATCTTCCCACATGGCGGCTGCAGTTCTGGAAGCATTTCGTGCTAATAGACGTCGATTGCCACCTGGAATCCACATGCACCCGGATAGGCCATACGAAGCTAGGACCAAACACAAGGGCAAGTTGGAGCTGACCATTTCACTTGTGGACTGTCTAAACGATAAAAAAAAACGTGTAAAGGACAGGGCCTACCACCTCGGCAAACCTCACATAGGTGGGCTAGCTGTCCATTCACATAAGGTTCATACAGAAAAACAGGACGAAGCTCACGCGTTCCAAATTGAAAGCATAAACTGCTAATATATGAACGCCGCGAGTTTACCAAACAAACTGGATGAACTACGTGAACTTAGCAACGCCCATCTGATAGGAATATCTGAAACCTGGATATCTTCTCAGTTCTCGGACCAAGAGTTAGCATTGCCTGGGATAACTTTGTTCCGCAACGACAGAAAAACAGGAATTGGGGGCGGAGTAGCCATATACATAAGCTCTTGCTTGGAGGTGCACCAGGTTCACAACCTCGAGTTTAACAATCTTGAGGAATCCATATGGTGCTCTGTAAGATTGTCTAGTACTTCCAGGTGTCTAGTCGGAGTCATTTACAGGAAGCCAACTGCCAACACTGAGTACGATAGCCGTATGCTGGAAGGACTATCCCGCTCTACCCGTCTCGGTTTCACACACATCCTGATTCTAGGGGACTTTAATCTCTCTAGAGTCAACTTCGCGGAACACACATACACTGGAGGCGACAACTCAACTGAAGCTCGGTTCTTCAACCTCATCGATAACTTGGGCTTATATGAAAATGTGAGGTCGGCAACTCGTTGGAGAAACAGTCAGACACCATGGCGCTTAGACTGTGTATTCACTAACGAAGAATTCCTAGTCGACAACCTCTCAATCCTGGCTCCTCTGGGAAAAAGCGATCATGCCGTCATAGCCTTCAGTTTTGTCATCAAAACTAAGCTAAGGTATCCCAACAATAATTTGCGTTGGAATTTTAAACGGCTGAATGTGCCAGCTCTACATGACCATCTACAACAGGTGGTTTGGGATGTTCACCCTCAAATCGATGTGGATGGTCATTGGGACTTATTACTGCACACGCTCTTATGTGCTACAGACCATTCAGTTCCTCAAACGGTTCCCAAAAGCTTCAAGCCACCTACAGTAATCAAGAACCGTACCCTTCGCCTCCTAAGCCGCAAACGGCACTGTTGGGCGGAATACAAACGAACTAATAACGATGGAGCGTATAGGCAATACAAACATATCAGGAACACATGCTCGAAGCCTATAAGAGAAGACAGGCTTCAGTACCAAACAAAGCTTATGGACAAATTCGCCTCTAACCCTAGAAGCCTATTCCGTTATGCAGCCTCTCTTCGTCAAGCCAAAACTGGAGTTTTTCAACTGGTAGGTCTTAACGGCCCAACCAACAACGATGGCGACGCCGCTAACCTTCTGGCGGCCCATTACTCTCAAACATTTCAACCGGCTGACATCAACTTTATTGACGACAGTTTCATCTCCAACTCCACAGGACTTTCTGAAGTGGACCTAAGCGCTGACTTGGTGTTCCGGAAATTGCAGCACTTAAGACTTGATACTTCTCCTGGCCCGGACATGGTTCATCCTGCCATACTGAGGGAGGCAGCCTCAATCCTGGCAACGCCGCTTAGCGTGATGTTTTCACACTCGCTAATCCGAGGCCAATTACCGGAAAACTGGAAGTTGGCTCACATCACACCAATTTTCAAAGGTGGTCGACGCAATGAACCTTCAAGTTATCGGCCGGTGGCTCTTCAGTCATTACCTTCAAAACTCATGGAGTCCCTGATATGCGATGGTTTAAATGACTATCTACTGTCCTTAAATTTCTTCTCACCCCAACAGCATGGTTTCAGGAAGGGTTACTCTTGTATAACCAACCTGCTGGCTGCGGTGGACAAATGGACAAGCATCCTCGATTGCAAGGGAAAGGTTGACGTCATTTACCTTGATTTCTCAAAAGCTTTTGATAAGGTTAACCACTTGTGTCTTATCAACAAGCTCAAACGACTAGGTATCAAACCACCTCTAATCGACTGGCTTACTTCATACCTAAAAAATGGACACTTTAAGGTCAGGGTTAATTTCACTTTATCTCAGGCTATGGAATGTCCTAGTGGGGTCCCCCAGGGCTCAGTACTAGGGCCTCTTCTCTTCTTGATCTACATAAATGATCTTCCTCAACAGGTAACGTCAGACTTATTACTTTTTGCCGACGACGTGAAACTTTGGAGAGAGATACGCAACCAAGATGACACACAGGCATTTCAGGAGGGTCTGACGCGACTTCAAAGTTGGGCAGACGATAACAGACTTACCTTTAACACTTCAAAGTGTAAAGTAGTCCATCTGAGACATGTCGCAAACTACAGTTACAACTTAGGAAACTCCTCTCTAGTAGTATCCCAAGTCGAAAAAGATTTAGGAGTCCTGGTGCCCCATGACTTGAAGTCTTACGCTAACTGTGACAAAAATGCCTTCCGAGCAAACCTTGCACTGGTAACGTTGAAGCGCATTTTTGGACAGTTTGACGGACGAACTTTCCATACAATCTTCAATAGTTTCATCCGTCCCCATTTAGAGTACGGAAACATAGTACTACCCCCGTCACTCCAAAAGGACAAGGTCACTTTGGAGCGTATCCAACGGCGAGCCACGAAATCAGTTCGAGGACTCAAATCTAAGCCTTACGAAGAACGCCTCCGTTCACTAGACCTTTACCCACTAGAATATAGGCGTCTTAGAGGTGATTTACTAATGGCTTATAGTATTCTTAACACTTCTGGACATCCTCTTAAACACCTACTTAAGCTTAGTTCGAATAATAACCTAAGGGGTAACACCCAGAAACTGGAAACACAACATAGCAAGACGGAATGTAGACACAACTTCTACTCCTTAAGAGTTGTCAAAAGCTGGAATTCGCTGCCGGCCGAGCTAGTCCAAGCGACTTCTCAGGAGTCCTTCAAGAGGCAACTTGACCTATTCTTAAGGACCAAGGACATCATCACATTATGATTTACCAATTTCTTTTCCTTTTTTATTGTTAACATAACTAGGTTCCTGCCTGGAGGATTTGGTGATCCCCTGCTACTAGACACGGAAGCCTGTTAAGCGAAAGCTTCTTCTATTCCGTCCACAACCATTTGAACCATTTGAACCATTTGGATATTGAAACGCTACCAACTTTTGAAGAGTCAAGGACGATGTCTTGTTTTTGTATTGTATGTCTCCTATTTAAGTTAGTAAAACAATGAAGTAATATTTTTCAACACAGTGACGTATATAACTAACATCAATGTAATAGGTTTTGTTTAAACAGGAAAATGGTGTTATGAGACCTGAGGGAGTGTACTTGTATTGACGAGAAAAGGGAAGTAATATGGAAGATGGGAATAAACCAAAAATACCACGGCGAAGCAGTATTTTTCCTTTCGTCTGTTATTTTCATCTGACTGTGGCTGGATTCCAGATGTCTGTTTCCCTTTCTCGTTGTGTTTGCCATTGATTACGGGTGTATTTTCTCTTTAACATACATATTTTCTCCCAATTCCAGACTGAATTACTCTAACAAACATCTCATTGTCCGTGAACATCATTTCAGTAAGTGCTCAGAAACATGACGGGCTGACCATTCTATGAAAATAAAAGCAGTGATTTATCGTAATCAGTAAGACATGGTATTCGACGCTACTCAACCTCAAACATCTGCTGTAGATAAGTCTCCGTCGGGAGAATTCCAAGGCTGGAGAATATAAGGTATCCGTAGTCATGAAACGTCAGAAATACAGTTTCCCTACTCATTTGGATTTAACAAAAACTATATTTATTATTAGTTTTCTACCTAATGCTCAATTTATTTGAGACTTTCAAGTCCAACCTTGGCACTGAATAGTGGCAAGTTTAGATATATTTTATTTCCATCTGGGGTTTGCCTTTAAGTCAGATTGTCAGAAAATTCAAAATTCTGGTGGCTCACATAAATACCCCTGTTTTGGTCTTTTAGGTCGTCTTTTCAAATAATCAACTTTCCTTTATTTTCCTGACAAAAGCCAAACTTGTATCATGATCATGTGGCTTTAATACTTACAGTAGCTGGGAGAGGATCTTGAAACACGTTAATCATAAAGTTACTTCCTTATTTCGTGTGCGGCTTTTAAGTTTTAGTGTCAGTTGGATTATACTGGGTCAACATCTGGTCAGTAATCACACTGCCTGATTTTACAAAACCAGTAACTGCTTAGTGTGTGGTATGACAATAATGATGTGTGGCTCGTATTTGGTGGGGGTAGCCGATTGCTTAGTTAGTTCTCATAAGCTGTTTGCTTTCAAATGTATAGTGAGGGGTTATGTTTCGTAAGTACATTATAAGGCAATAATTTAAAGTATCCAGATGAGTTTCATCTGAGTCATTCAGTTTTTAAATGTTAGTTTTCCAATTAATTGTGACTAAGGGATGAATTTAATGCTTCTCAAACTGATTTGGATTGAGCTCTTAATATTCTGATTTTATCTAACGCAGTTCATTAGTATGCAAATCAAAGTTGGGTTCCAACTTGTAAAATTAATTGATTATATTGGCTTTGTCTTGACTGTGGGGTAATTTCATCCGTTTTTATTTATTTAATTCTAAACTCTGGTACAAATGGACAAAATCAAGGTGGAATTGTGAAGAAATAAGCGAGGGAAAGGGAGCACAATCAAATAAGTAAATAAAAAGCATAGTATGTAGGAGTTATTGCTGAGTTAAAAACACAACCAAGAAAATTTTTTCAGTCAAACGTGTTCTTATTTTGGAGAATTTAAGATAAAACTACTATAGTTTCTACGAGCTTCCATACTGAGCTATGTCTGATAGCGTTGTGCCAGCTAGTGCTCAACCAATATAGATCGACACTGACCTCACCGGCGCGTTGTAAACTCGAACTTTTACAACCAGAATAACATAATTATGACACGAAAGATGGCCTAGATTGAGATGTAGGGCTCTGGCTTGGATAATGCATGGACTAATTTCATTTGTCACTTAAACATCAGTACAAAATGACATAGATGCACTGGCTTTTTAGTCGCTTCCAAAAGCTCATCACAAAGAATGAGTGCATAAAATTGTATAATCTTTGGAGTACATTGCGTTTGGAAATTACATAGTACATACCGTACCTACAGACTAAAAATTCATTAAGCATATTTAGGGTTGATTGTATATCACCATACAGCAAAGCGATTCCATGTACATATTTGGGGTTGGAAAGTCCAGGTATCAGATGCACCACCACTGAGTACTTCCTTCAGAGCTGTTTTTCAAGATGTCAGTGACGAATCCTTTTAGAACGATACATTCAGGAGATGTGTGTCGTTACTCTGATCAAGTCATTTGTGCAAAAAGCCTTAATAAAAATACTCGTACGCGTACACTTTTTAAGCGGATGATCTGGGGCTTCAGTTTTGTCCATTGAGTCAAAGGTAGCCCCGAGCTGAACTAAAACAGCGATTGTTGAACTCCAGTAAGTGGTGTCTCAGGCTTTTGAGGGAAGAACACGATTAATATATTCACGACACAAGCAAAAAATGGGCCGGTAAATGGCCAGTCAGTTTTTCACAATCTTTGCATAGTTTGTGGAGTTTGACGTAATCAAATATTGTGAACGCAGTCGAAAATGAAATCATCCCCCGGAAGTTTTGGGAAAAAACGTAGGGCTTTTTTAAAGATGCGGACGACATCGCCTTATTTTAAGATGTTAGAACAGTAGTTTCCAAACCTTTCCAAGTAACCTAACCATTTTTATGACTAGAGGTTTACCATCTTCCTTTAAAACAGCCGGAAATACGTCATCTGAACCCGGCCACTTGTAGTGCTTTACAAATTAGAGCTCCTTGGTGATCGCTTCATTAGGTGTATCAGTAGTCGCGAACCTTGGAGAATAGAACGGTCTTTTTGACATTGTTTGAGCAACAGACCAACTCAGTTGTTGCTCAAAAACAGGTCATCATCCAAGATGCCTTTGGATGCTAATAAATGGTGTGCCATCGACTACACAGAGCGTTCCACTTAGACCAGAATTGTTGCCGGTGGGCTCGGCCGTGTTGAAATGGCTTCTGGTAGTTATCAGATTCAGCTTTCACTTCCGACGTGTTAGGACGCTTCGACTACTGAGTTACTTGATCCGTACACAAGTTTTGGAAGATTTCTTGAAGTAGAAATCTAATTGTATCATCAAACGTTTTGCGGGAGTAGGCTGGAGTACCTCAAGGCATAAAGGCTAGTCTTCCGACATATACTGTTGTAAGTGAAAAATATTCCGAATATTCAATACATAATGTGTTCAAACTAGATATAATAACCTTGATGCTATCAAATATGAGTCCTTTTATATATATCCTTGTTTCCTATTTCATACCATATAATCTTCCCTCTTTTTTAACGTTATTTCAATGGTCACTTTTCCTTGTTTATAGAGCACCTCAGATACAAGACTAGGGGCTTATAATTAATATCGTACTTCTAATTTATTTATTATTAAGAGGAAAGCATTAAATAGTAGAATTTTCTGTACTCTACCGTTGGTCACACTTATTGAAGTTGAGGTACATCAGTTGCCTTCTAATATTAAATAAAATAAATGAGAATTCAAACTAGTTAATTAAAAATAGAAAGTTGAGTACTTAAAGAACCAAGCTACAGTTACAACCTCTAGAAACACTAAACCAAAGGATGTGCAGTTACAGAATAAATTAGTTTAGCGTTAATGTAAAGCTTGAATCCTTCATACCTATGTTATCGCTTTTTGTCTTAGTGTAAGTTGTGACAATAAGGTTTGTTGTTAGGAGCTAAATATAGTTCAGCATTATTCTTAAGTTTTTAGGACTGCTCATGGATCAATGTGTACAGTAGGTAAATAGATTCAGACGTATAAAGTGGAGAGACGGATGTTTATTCGTTCAGCTTTCCATATGGGCAGAAATTTAGACTTTCAGCAACTAATTTGCTTTCCGGTTCTGTGGAAGTTTTGAAACGATGCTATAAGCACGGTTATTGGGATTAATACAGTGTACTGAGTTCTCTGTAGGAATTACCGCGATTATTTTTGTCCCATTACTTAATAACTTCTTATTTTTGTTTAATAAGATTCCCTCTAGTTTACCTGTTTCTCTTTATAAAGTTCGTTAGGAAGCAGGAAACATTGAAGTTAGTTAATTTTCTACATGAAACGTATTTCACTGTTGACTTCAGTAATTAGTGAAATTCATCCGTTAAGGTTGAGGAGAGCACAATAAATCATGTCTTCTGCTTGTCTATATTTCTTGATTGTTTAGTCTATTGAAAACCACTAGTCACTAGCTCAAAGTGTGGTTAGCATACTCTGCATTGTTTGTTATATTTTAGTGCTTTTGGCGATGTTTCAAAAACAGGCTTACAGAGAAAAATGCTGAAATTCTTAAAAAAATCCTGTATTATATCAGTAGTGCAGATGATCAAACTAATGAACAGGTTAGTTAGAAATACACCTTTATAATACTGTCTACCATTTTAATCTGTTTGTAACAGCGTATATCTAACTTCCGAATAAATTAATAATTTTTCTCATGTTTGTCTATAGTATGACCAAGCGTTAATTCAACTGTCGTGTAGTTCATCAGTCCCTTAGGTACATATGAACATAAGTTTATCGATGTCAGCGGTTTTGTCACAAAAACAAACCGCGATATTTCCATCTAGGCTTTAATTTCTGATAATTTCTTGACTGCCAGATCTTTGGTCAAAAAGGGAGTAGTAGTGAGTGATGAGATGGGAGACGCAGACAGCAGATATCAGCGATAATAGAAAACTGTTCATACTTACTGTGGAAGTGGATTAAAAATTTATGGTAGTGAAGAAAATGTAATTCAGTGATCCTCTTTGAACCCGAACGACCGAGACAGCTCCGACTCGTTACTTTTCGGTTGCCTGATATCAGTTAACAACCTGAATGGTAAGTATTCATTTGGCTTCCGAATTTCGGTATTAGTAGGATAAACCTCAAGACAGATACTTAATATTCACTCGCATTTGGTCAGCATATGCTACCTGTGTTTGTGGGTTAGCTGAGTGTATTAAAATAGTGAGTTTCAGTGATTTACTAGGCACTGGTTTTGTGCACAAATTAGAGCCACGTTGTTTCAGTCCTAGTGATACTACTGCTCGGCTGCCCCAATTAAAATACGTCAAATGGGGTTGATACTTTAAGCTTGCTTTTTGGGGACCGAATTCTTGGAATATTATTCGAATGTTTCAGAAGGCGCCTACACACGGTACAAGTGCTCAGTGTATTACCGTACTGTCGTACGTTGTCTGCAAGTTTTGTGCTACTTAAAAAACTTACTGAGGAGGATAGTGAGGACATAAGATCAATGGTTTTATATAAGTCAGCCGATGAATATAAAAACACTTGATACAAGTTTTGGGCCTTCGGGCCGAATTTATATAGTGTGGCAGTTTAGGAAAGTTCTCATATCCTCCTGGATTATGACTTGTTGACTTCTCTTATCTATGTACCGGATATATTACGTGTATCTGAATTAATTACAGGGTTGGAAGAGTTGCAATTTAAACAGATAAAAAACATGTGACTAGTATCGTGAAGCCTGTGATCTCTTTGGAGAGTTACAGGAAAGCACCGGTTTGGTCGAAATTCACGAGATATCAAACAAATGTGTAAAATTATTAAGTAATACTCCACAAAAGCCCTAATTGTTAGGGATTCCTTAAAATTCTTTCTTGAAACTCCGAGTATTCAATCACTTTATACTCACAATATTAGATAGGATTTAGTAATCAACCCTTCGAAAGTGAACCTAATGTAAAGTGAATCAAGTAGGGTAAGAGACCACTCCTAAAGATTTTCACGTGTTTTAGTAATCCTTAAGATGGCACATATGATACCCCTACAGTTCGTCATTAAACTCAGATTTGAGGTTTATAACTGTTTTTTGTATGATACAACTGCCTATGCGTTCCGGAGGATGATGGAACATTTAACCAACTAAATATGTGTGAATTTCCCCTTCTTACTGCGGTCAAACGATCTCATTAAATAATCAATGAATTCAGGACTTATGAAACTTCATTCTTAGCTTTGATACCCTAGTAGTTCTAAAATAAAGGAAACATCTCTCAAACTTTGTGATGTTTTTAAGCTTAGGCTAGTTGACCCGAAACCATTAAAATTATTTCACCCTACCCTTTTAAAAGCTTCCTAGAGTTATTCGAAATATGATGATTCACTATAATATCTCTGAAGCAGCACTTTCGTAAGTCTATTTTGCTTTCTCTGGGACATCCATATACTATGTTTACGTGGACCTATAAAGTTAAAAACCAACTACCATGCGTAAGTCTTATGTTCGTATCACTTATCTCTCCGTTTGGTCGATAAGTAGTATCGAGCATTTAGTGTGCAAACGTCAGGTATATCTTTACATTTCATTATATTTGATAGTCATATATTATCATCACTCAATTATTTTAGACAATACTAACTATTTCATATTAAAAATTTAGTTGTAGTTTTTCTAATATCAGTACTTCGTGTCTCAGCTTCACATTGTTTTTAATAGTATCATTTATGCAGATATAGTCAGTCTTATTGAATAAGTTCGCTGTCATACCTCGTTTTTGTTTGTTTGGTTGATAGTTATGGAAACCTTGATACTTCTGTTCATGTGAAGTTTCTGTAGACAGAGTGTTTAGATTGAACCGTTTTGCGTTTGACTGACAAGTGAATCTAAGAAAGGAAGTTGGTTATTCTTCTCGCCCAAGTGATCTGGTACGACCGAGGGTGGAGAGTTCGCTTTCCCCCTCAAAATGCTCCGATATGGCCATATGTCTATAACCACTGCTTTCTCACAGCGGGGGTAGTGTTTACGAAATTGAGAGGACGAAAAGCGTATGTCCGGCATTTGTCTCTCAACAGTAAGCTCATTGGCTTCACTGTAACGGATTTCACAAAATTTTACTCAGGATCTACAATCATGAAATATAGATTATGGTGGTGTAGTAGCATTCTGAGTCATAACCTTTGACTATTAATATATGCATTTTTATATAAACGTCAGCTGTAAAAATGTGAAACCAAATAAGTAGTGCAAGTAAACCAAAGCGCGTTACTGAATAACCTCTCGATAAAATAACTAAGGTTGCATCTGTTTGGACTCGACTGTCAAGTTTGGTGTACGTTGTTTAGAGTCAGTGGTCTAGGGTTTCATTAATTATGACTTTTCCTATATTCAGTAGACCAGTTTGTTTTTAACAAGCATGAAGTCTGTGGTATCTAGGTCTTTATAAGCTTTTGTAATATATAATAATAAATGATTATATTGCTTTTCGCCTTTCAAGCTCAACTACGTAATTCAGGAAATATACATGGTGATATCGAATGAATATACGGATAGTACTATTTTTCTTGAAAAGCTGAAAAGCACCATAATAAAGGGCAAACAATTGCATAAATCCAGTCATGATATTAAGTAAGTAAATTATATCTCGTCTCTGTAAGTATTTAAATAAAAATAGTGAAAATCTGTTTTGTCTGATCGAAAGATGTTAATATCCAATTTTTAGGATCAGTAATCAACATTCGAATACTACAAAAGGACATAGGAAGTCGGAGAATAGTTCTATGCAATCGTTTCCTCAGTCAGTAAATAATTATAGTTCTCAATTTTCAGAATACAGAACTGATGAGAAAAATTATGACTTTTCTCACTCCCAACTTCAGTTAGTTTTGAGAATGGAAGGCATCCGTGATTGGCTCCATTTAATTGCTTCATGTGGTCTATTAAATGAACTTGATCCACCACTTCCACATATTTCTTCTATAAAAAGGCATATACGGATCGGATCTTGGAACCTTAACCGCTTCGATTTAAGTAAAGCTAAACATCCAGGATTCATGGAAGTTGTTTGCCTGACCATTTTACGAATGAACGTCTCATTAATATTGCTTCAAGAAGTTTCAGACCCTTTAGTTGCTGATTATGTAAGTTGTCTTTCGATACATTGTTTTGGATTGTTACAACTAAAACATCACATCAGCTCTCTTTTTGACGAATGTACGAATAATTACTGGGTAAAGTATCCTACAGGTTACGTTGGACTCATCAAGTTTATTTCATAGCAAATCCTTTAAATAACAGTCATTGATTTTGTATGGTTTACTGTCTTCATATTTTGTTATATTAGTCAGTGTAACATTTCAGACCAATAATGCACGTGATTACAAGGTTTTTAATTTAACCAAAAATACGTACGTTATTTTTACTCTGTATGTGTTTGTAGTTGCTAAGATAACATGCCTTTAACGTTTATTTATTAGGGGTGATTCGTGTAATTATTGGTTTGTTTATTAACTTTTGTCTGCACTTTTGCTCGACCAGTAGCGTATTTCTTATTTATGTATTTGCGACAGTTTTTCGTGCTCATCATTTTCCTGAGAGTTGATCTGTGGTAACCAGTCTGTAATTTTCATCTGGTCAAACTGTAGATGATCGAGAACTTTGTTGCATATAGGTTATACAATAGTAAATAGATAGCATTCAGTGTACAATATTATTTTCAGCTGGCTGGTTTTTTTGAGAGTGGAATGCACATATTTATCTTCTTGAGATCTTAGAAAGATAAGACATGGATTCGAGTTTTTGCATTTCGAAATAATCCACCACGTAAAACAGAAAACGGTAAAAAGGAATTAGGAAAAATAAGTATATTAATAAGATGTGAGGGTGATTGTGGCTAAATGATTACAATTTTAGCTTATATATATGGTAGATATGTTTGCACCATTGTGTCTGGTTTTGAAATATTTTGCATAGTATCTTCAAACATCCGCCCTTACTATCCCACAAATCCATGCCCGGACTGGTGACGAGCTGAGATATGATCACAGTTAATGTAAGTCTAAACTCTGTAGTACATTTAGTTTAAAAACATGGTTATTTTGACGATTCTTCCCAGTAGTATTTTATCAAACTGTATAACTTTTTTCCTCATTTTTATCCGTACATATTGCTAATCATTCTAGCTGTGCAATGAGCTAAATTATCCATCTCTTCCCCACGTAAAACGATGGGTTGAAAAATTTCCTCTGTCTACTCCCCCGTACTGGAAAGCGTCATGTTCTATCCAACCAACTGGTTCCATGTTCCGTGCAAAAGAGTATGCCGTTTTTCTATATAATTCTCGATGTGGTATTCGGATTTCTCGGACAAGTTTATTGGAAAAGTCTTCGAACTCATTACCTGTTTCAAGAAAGTCGTTTACACGCAGTCCATGTGGGGCCTCCTGCCATGTATGTAACAAAAGGTGTTTAAAAGCAGATGCTAGTTTGAAAAAATTTCCTTTGTTCAATTTAATATGAAACCATGTGCCATGATTCTGGCTGACCTGATTAAACTTAGTGATTTACAAATATTTAATTCTTCTCGTAGGCTCACTTTCCAGTACTGAATTGCTTATTTTTTCCAGCGTTTTATTTTTGGTTTTTCTTAACCCTATCGTCTGTGATATGCTATACCTTTGTCTGTGTAATTTCATCTACTTTTCTTCTATTCAACTACTTATCATCTTAATGTTTTACATAGTTTCTAAGTTATTACTGAGTAACCTATTTCGTCATAAACTTGAGAAGTGTATGTACGTAATATTCGAGAAACTTGATTACATCATCAGCCCTTATACAACAGATGTTACCCATATCTCTTAGGATACATGTGTATATGTTTATGAAGTGGCATTTATTTTTGTTCATCAATGAGCTAGTGAGGATCAAAGGCAGTTATTATATTATTTTGATATGATTATTACACGTAGAGTCTTACTCTTGAAATGTGTTGGGACATCGTCACTCATTTTGTAAATATCTACAACGCTACCATCTGGACATCAACCGCTATGTACATGGATTGTTTTAATTTACTTTCAGATTCAACATATTAACTTAGTTCTCATTTCAGTACATTTGAAGGCAAGTGGATTAAGAAATAGTCAAATTGGCAGGACTATCTCAGAAATTGAATCTCTTGGCTATCTTGTTCAAGCTTTTTATGAAACACAACCTAGTAAGTATACTAGTGTTTGATTAAATGTTTTCGTACGATTGTTGAGGGCGAACAGTTCGAAATTTTTACTTGTGAAGATTATTAAGACTATCAAGTCCAATGATTCTTGACTTTTTGTTGTATTTGTAGTATATGACTAAAGGAACTCATTGTTATTTTTAACACTAACAAAGAATTGTTTTTCGCTTAGTAACTAGTTATGTTATTCAATGAACAGTAGTTCTTAAAAATATTCACTTCATAATGTTTTGGATTTGTGGAATGGCTGTAATCAGGGTCGGCCATTTTCGACCTTTAGATTTAATATGTGTATCATTAACCGATAACTCTTATGAATCTATGATACCGACGAATAGATTTTGACGTACAAAAACTGGCATAATGTCAGGGAAACAATCCTAACTTTTTGAAAGGCAAACCAACATATTTCGATCATTTCTGAGCCTTAAGTTTGTTAAATAACTTACACGTATTTTTTTCACAGACAAACTTCTCTACAACGTATTTCCAAGTTAATATGAATCGTTATTTATTTTTCAGGGGGAACATATCTCATTATAGCTGGTGATTTCAACCTCTTCCCAACACATGAAGGTTAGTTTAGATCCATAGTAAATAGGAACTATGTAACTGATTAAATGTCTCTGAATAGACTTAGAAGTAAATCATATGTATTTTGTTATGCGAATTATTCTACGTGAAATAACTAGTTAAAGTTTTTCACAATCTAACCGCGAAATTTTAGTGAGACTGGCAATTGTAAGCAATTTATTCTATTTACGGACACTTTGCTTCATATAAAATGTATTGCTATGCAGATGTTTGGAAAGTTATTTGTTAATACGTGGATCTACATAAAACAATATCCATCTAAAAAAACTCAGAAAAAAACCTAAAATCCGCTTGTAACGCTGGTATTCATGGTCTTCAATTTAATCGTAGTCTACTGTTGCGAATCGATAGTGGTCAAACTATTAATAAGTTTTGTGACAGTATCGAGATATACAGGTAGGTTCTGAACTTTTCTTACAGCTTTTCCCTGAATGTGCGTTGCAGCTAGAAATGACCCGTCTCTTACAAATTCTCTTGTATTACACTTAACTAGCTTCGTCAATAAGGTGAGGTGATTTACATGTTGTAAAGAAATGCAACACCTATTCACTTTGTAGTTTGTGTCCACCTATTTTGTGATAATAAATGATTTTACTGGGTCGCATAAACCTCATATAAAACAGAATTTGAACACAACCCGAGCAGTTGAAAATGATAATACTGAATAACTGAAACTAACCAGATATCTGGCGGTTGATTTTCTTACTAAAGCTTTCTTAGCAAGTACTTGTCGTCTTCATTCAAATAAATAAATTACGCTATTTCCACGAAGTAAATTGTTAGCATAACGTTTTTAAACTTACTCTCGAGAGATCACATTTTACAGGGAAGATATTTTCTCACATTTCCAGGAAACCAAGAACTCCATGTTTAACTAAGATATAATGAAAATCATATCTGTTTCTGTATTCTTAGGAACGACTAGTCTTAGTGCAAAATAGAGTGTAGTGAAATTTCAGGAACAAAGTCAAGTAGTCAAAAGTTATGTAACATTCTAGTAAAAAATACCATTCAGTCACTTTCTGAAGGATTACATTTAACCAACTAAATGTATTGTATCGATTTAGTAATGGACACTAGTACAGTAAGAATTTTTATCAATTAAACCAAGTTACTTGCACGCGTCATATGCAAACGTGGAGAGATACAAAGTTTGAAGAAGAATGTAGAGTTTCTACGGTTATTGAAGTAAATGTCATTATAGATGTTGTCTAAAGAATTCGCTGCTGAAAGACATCCCTAGAGGTTTAAGGCTCTCACGACTGATTTGTAAGCTACATTATTTACGATAATTAACGCTTTGACAGGAACAAATTCACAAGAACTCTCTCAACACCACCTGAATATATTCATCGTTGCACGAGCCTCTATCTGAATAATTCCAGCAACAGTTCAAAGTTAGTTTCATAATACCTACCTTAAGTAGCAATTTTGGTTCTGTTGTATTTACAAATGAATTAGTTTTAGCAGTAATTATTGTGTTAGAGAAGAAGCACAGTGTTTATTATAACCACTTTTTATATGTATTTTCGTTTTATTGACTAGTATTATTTTTGATAAAAAGATTTTCCAAACTGTTATCGATTCATCCTTCCCACATTATTAGAGGCAATACTTTAATAATTTCCCAATTAAATCAACGTAATGGGATCAATTAATCTTTTATGCCAGTTAGATACAAGCACTCAGATACTCCTGAGCCGTTATGAATTTGTATTTAGTACACTTATAGGTTCATTATTTACTTTCGCTTGTACATAAGTTGAACATTACGCAAATAATTTCCATAATTTTAATTAAAGCTCTCATCATTGTTAATTTAGATTCGATTTATTTATTGCCTCGTTATACTGATTATCTCTACTTGTTTATTTAAAAGTTTATCGGGTATTGCGTGAACGTGGTTTATGGCCAGTACTCAAAGGTGAACAACAAACTACCATGAATTATTCTAAATCCAGATCTAACCATTTTAGAGCATATGACAATGCATGGCTTTCTGCTAACCTCTCTTTGACTTCTGAATCCACTATTCGTTGGACTGGTGATTCTGGTGTCATATTAAAAGGGCTCAGACATCCTTTAATTCCGGAGGAAACAGGAAGTGGTGCAAATGGTCTTGTTAGTGATCATGCTCCCATATGGTTTGATATTCACTTAACGTAACAATAACCTGTATTTGTGTATAACTTTTTATTAACGAACTTATGATAACGTTGTACATATGTACTTAATAATAAAGAGCATTTATTTTGATAGCTTGACCATTAATCTTCTGCCCCGTAACCGAAGATTTGTTCACAGTCAAACCAAGATTTTTCGGTATCCACCTTGTAAAATTCTTCTGTGATTTGACGGCCAGTTTTTCGTGGTGTTTTCCGAATATTACTCACCTAAAAAATATTTCAATGTTTACTTTTGCTTGTTATGTAGGGTCTTCTATATTTGCAATTGTATATCAATTGTTAGTCGAATTATCTGCACATATCTGTATGTTAATTAATTGACATTGGTACCATTTTACTCGTTTACAACAATTACTTATCTCAACTGTTTCGTGCTTATTACATTAAGGTCTCCAGCTCAATATATTGATCTACTTGTCACGCTTTCCGCGTATACTTAAGATTTCCCCCTATTCAACTTAGTAAATTATTCCTTACTAAGCTTTACAACGCTTAAACAACTTTGTCATCTCTTTTCGGCCATTCAGACAACCTCGAAATGGTTGCTATTATATATGTCATTAAAATAACTGTAACTCAATATATTGGAATTCTTAAATACTCAAGCAACTTACTTTGTCAAGTGTTTGAAGGTTTTGAATTGTAGGTGTATTCATTGTGAATGGGCTCAATTTCTTAAACAATGGAAATTCACATTCTTGATTCTGATAGCTTGGCTCTTTCTGGTTGTTCATCAGGCTTCCATAATCAGGGGAAGCGAAAAACACTCTCCTACGTTTGGTAGCTGAACCTGGTTGTTTCAATATACTCTTCGGGGTTTTAGTAGGCGTTTCGGCCATATTCTAAGGCGAAGTTTTAACGTAAACAAAAGTTTTCCTTACCAAATTATCTCGTTTCAAAGATAACGCTGGTGATTTGGGAGTCTGAGTCACGTTTTCATGAATTTCCTTCGGGAGCTGAGTACTAGCAGGTGGAGAGTTTGCATAAATTTGATGTTGAAATTCCTGATATTCCTTTTCTACACATCGAAGTTTCAATAGTTCCCTGTTATTCTCTGCTAAGATCGTTTCTCGTTCAATTTGATCCTGTTTCATTCTCCTTAGTTCTTCATGAAGCCTTTGTTTTTCATCATTTGCCTCCCTCAATTCTCTCTCCTAAATGTCAGTATTAATTTAGGTAATACGTCGCATACTTGATTTGTTGCTTTTACTTCCAGCTTCTTAAGTTCTTGCTCTTTTTTCATGAGCTTCTTTAGAACTTCCTTCTACAGTATATAAGTGTTTTAATCAAAGAAATATATTGCTTAACGGGAAGACCGATTTACTGTGAACATGTTTTTACTGCACAGTTGTTCGTTTCTGATGGATATTTATATCCATAGTTTGTTGAGAGCACGTAATCCACGAGACTTTGACGGACTTAATTTCCAAACCATTTCTTACGATGAATTTCTATGCGTACGTACTAAACTTCTGCTCTTTTAATTCGTAAGTTAGTGCGTCCATTAATACTGGTAAAACCAACAAATTCTGTCAGATCAATGATTTTTATTATACACTCAACATTTATCTCATTAACGAGATTTAATTTCATGAATCGTTTTTACTATAGTGAGAAGTTAAAACTGCTCTAGCTATCTGCTTAGTCTAGTATGTTAATATTACACAGTAAAACCTACTATAACGTGTTTGGGTGAAAAGTAGATAGTTCGTCAAAATCGATAATCTCACACAAGTTCCTGATATTATAAGTATTCTTTTATTATTTTGCGTAAGTTTAACATAAAGTTCCTTTTTGCTATTGACTCTCTTATAGGAAATCATTTATTATTATTATTTTGTTGTGTGTTGATTGATACATCCATCTATCGTATTTTTAGTTCTCATTTAGTTGAGCAGTCAAACTTAGCAAGCAGAAGTAGCATGCTAGTGTTGTTAACTATTAATAATGAACTCTATAGTTATTGCGTTAGTACCAGACTGGTTCCATTTTTCTGGTTTCCCCCCTTTAATAAATGCTAGAAATATTTTCAAAATAAATTTAACAATATATATGACTAATATTTCTTATAGGGATCTGGAATATTTATTTATCCCACCCCTAGCAGTCAGTCAGTTAGTCAGCTACAACTTAGGACCAGGCACATATGTGCATCGGTCCAGGTTGCCATACCGCATCAGCACAACAAGATGAACACCGGATTCATAGCATGTAAGAGAAAGATTGCATATAGAGATATAGTACAAGAAGAAAGAATTGGTTCGTAGAAAGAAAGATATGCAGTGATTTTAATATCTTAGTTTAAGGGAAGACAGGGAGTGTATACACCGACGCCATTGTGATCGATTCTGAGCCATGTCCCCAAGAGTCTCCAACCATTGATTACGAAAGTCACGCGGACCCCAGCCAAGTAGTCTGCATCTACCCACCCCTAACTCGTACTTACGAAATTCTAACTTGGTACATCAGTCATACTTGGACTCCTTAAGATTCTGGATGACAGATTTTCTTTAATTGAAACGAACGGTTAAACTTGTAGATTTATTGCTCGTATTCAACAACCTATCACTAAAGATTGTACTGCTACGTACATTCATAAGGTAGCTTATAAATATCGATTAAGTATATCAATTTTCTTGAAGATTCTTTTCGAGAGATATTTCACTCAACTATATATGTTCAAATTTGTGGGCCTTTTAATAGAACGAATCGTTTCCTATTATCGATAGAATGAAAAGGATTCTGAACATTCTTATTGAAAATTTGAGTTACCTTGTATGGGAAATGTAATCTATAATTCAAAGTTACAACCAGGTACTAATCTACGAATGGATATCGTTTGATTAGGTAGAGTGAAGTACTCTTGCCTGCCAGAATCGATATTCCAATGTTGTGAGTGAACACTAAATGTTTACCCAATATACTAATATTAGCATTTTATTTTGTGACGAACTATTTGTAGCATGTAGAGGTGAGGTGCTGCTTAAATTTATCATTACTATTAGTTTGAATTAGAAATCGTCAAATGAAAACTTTTGGTAATAACATCAATACTTGCAGGTCATTTTCGTATGACCTTGTTTTTTAGTGTGCATTATTACTTTGTTTTCTATTGGAAACTTTTCGTCTAGTATTGTGCACATACAACCAAAATCAATGGAATTATTTAACATTCAGTGTGTTTTTTATGGTTTAAAGTGTAAATACAGTGTGATTGATTAGAAAAGATTATTGAAAATAAACCGTCTCGTTATTTCTAAACACATACTCATTTCAGTCGAGACTATGTTTGACTCCTTATTCTGTGGTACGTGTGCTAGAATTTTTCGTTTATGCGCAATTACTCAATTTATACAACATAAATCAGATGGTTGTTCCAGACTAAGTTTTGGCAATCCGCTATTTTTGGAATGTTCTCACTGTGATGAATGTTATATCTCACCATTAGATCTTATTGCGCATGTTGAATGTGCACATAGAATATCCATAATGAAACATAGATCGTCAAGCATGGCTAACGACAGTAATGGATTCCTACAAGAAGTAATGTCAGTCTCAGACACAACAAGTTCATCCTTTATCGTCACTGAAGAAAAAAGTAGCCATAACTCGATTAATTCAAACGATGGGAAGTTGGCACCCTGTCAGTCGGCGAGTCAAGTGCCATCAGTATTAAGTTCTTGCTCAACAAACTACAGTTCAGTGGGTCCTAGTAGCTCTATTCCTGCGGTTGTTCGTAAAACATGCTGTCTTGTGGATGGAAGTTCTCCCTGTACTCAAATGTCTTCATGTCCAATTTTGTTTTCTCGTGATTCTGATGGAGAAGCAGAATCCGAATTCAGAGATAATTCTTTGAAGGTCTCGAATACTTCAAACCCAGATACGACGTCGCTGTGTAATGAAGTAACTTACTGTACACAAACACCGCTTGTTTGTGGTGAACGGAAGTCACGATCGAATTTTATCTGTGAATACTGCAAAAGAGAGTTCTCACAAAAAGTACATTTACAAAAACATATAATGTCGACTCATACTAAAAACAAACCATTTAAATGCTCAGTCTGTTCTTACCAAACTGTCGAGAAAAGTCATTTAAAAACTCATTTCCGGAAGCATACGGGAGAAAAACCATTTTCCTGTACTCTATGCACTTACAGGGCAGCTCAACATTCTACACTAAAACAGCATTGTATTAAGAAACATCGTAATGCATTTCTTTCTTGCATAAACTGCAGCGTTCGTTTTGTAACACTGAACGAACTTGAAAATCATCAAAAATTATGTTTTCCTTAGCTCTACTCATGGTCATCAATATTTGATTAATCTTGATCTAAAGTGAATAATATAATCTTTTATCAATTGTATGTTGGTGTTTTGAATTGTTTTGTGTTAAAACATGTCTTATAATCAGCCCATAATATACATTAAACAACTAAAGCTTTAATATAAAATAAAATACCTTTTCCTGATTCAGTTCTTTGGTCTGTTCTCTAAGCTTTTCTATAAGATTCATGGATTCATTTAGCTTTTTATCCTTGATTTTTATATTTATATTTAATTAGGACTTACCACCTTCTTGCTGCTTTTGGAGTTCTCAGTATTTTTAAGATCAATTATCTCTTTTAAACTTTCAACTTCATCTTGCTTCTGTTTTATTTCATCAGCTTGCTGGTTCAATTTTTCTTTCAAAGACAACAGTTCATCTGTAATACTTTCATTTTGCTTCTGTAGCTCGATTTTGTGATTTTCCAGTCTTTGATTTTGTTCTTGAATATGCTTTTCCCTTAACTTTTGCTGTCCAATTTCTTGTCGTGAGTATTCTAATTGTATCGTCACATCATTTATATTATTAGTAAGCTGAATTTGCTTCAAAATACTTTTCTCCTTTTCTTGATTAAGATTAACCAACTGCCGTTTCAGTTCCTCATGGTACTCTTCTTTTTCCTAAGTGTATACGGAAACTAAATGTAGTATAAATGTTTCCCGGCATAAAATGCTTACTAGTCTTCATTGCATATTTAAAATGACCTTAAGTAGCTTTCTTATGTCCCTGTTGCTATCATTCCTAAGATTCTACTTATCGTATAGACCAACACAGCTAAAATGATGAACTCTGTGCATTGTATGCATAATTTTGAACTTATTTATAACCATTTCGCCGAACTGACCAAGTGAGTGCTGAGTAGATGTAATCTTTGAAAAATTACTGTGTTAAAGATTTATACGGTTTTGCGATGTCTCTGAAACACAAAATGAGTATCTAATACATTTGCGAACCAAATATCGTCCATGATTTTATGCTCTTAGATTTCAGTGTTGTCGTTAAGTCTATTAAAGTTGTCTTTTATAAATTACTCGTTTGTCGACGAAAACTAACAGGATTCTTCAAACGAGTTACTGACCGGTTTTACTTCTTATACTTGATTCATTACGATTCCTCTTGAAATCAAAATAACAGACTAGTGAGAATAATGTGCATTTTTAGCTTTTCTTGCGGCATAATAAACATTAAAAAGTTAAATTCGAGCTTAGAAGTCCTCATCCACTTGTGATAAAGTTCAAAGGAAACATTCAAATTTCGGTTGATGCATTTGCTGGAAAAAATAGGGACGTCTGGCAAAAAAGTTAAACTTAAAACACGCATTTATTATTAGCGATTACAGTCTGCCTATAAGGATATAAAGCTGCTCCTGATAAAGTAATTAAGACATGTGTTAGGTGTGCTCGACCACCATCTCCCTTATCGTGCTGTCATGAAACGGTTAAAATGGAGTTAAAAATGGCCGGAAAAGAACATTAAAAAAACAAACTACCAATCTATCGAGCCATAACTTATAAGCCTGAGGCTGGTAGGGCAGTCAAGATTTTCTGGTTATGAACTGTTCTCTATTTATAATGAGCAACTGAAAACGTACAGTGACTTTAGTCGATCATCATGAACAAGAAGCCTGCTACAGATGCTTATTGGCCCAAGTGATGTCGATTACCGATACATTAATTTATCACTTTCTTCCGAATCTTGAGTTAGGTATTGTTCCATAATTAAGATCTCTTTATGTCTGTTTCCTCTACGAGTTGCATTTTCGGCGCTTAGCTGTCCATTACACTTGACATTGTTTTTATTCTTTAGTCAGTTTAATTAACTTTTTGTGTCGGCGTGAGCTGAGAAAAATGGGCTGTGGCATTTTCAAATCCGGTTCTATGCTGATTACAACTGAGAAACTAACAGTTTAATTTTGAACTGAGCGGTCTTATAAGCATTTCACTAGTCCATTCAAGTAGGTTGGAAAGAATGTGATATTCACCCCTATCGATTACGTTCACAGGGTCTTAATAACTGAAATATTAGGTGGTATGAGCTGATTAGGCTTTCCTCAGACCCGGATATTATTTCTGAGTACCAGTTCGTATATATACATTAGACAACCAACTGACAATTGTATTTTATTAACATTGGTTTTGCTTCGAAGTTTCTCGGTATAAAAGTCGATATTGTATCTTTTAAAAGCTAAACTACCCAAAAATTGTTAAAATTAATGAAAAACGACTCAATAAAGTATATAAGTACCATACAATTTTCACCCAAATCCGTTTGCGCAATCTGTAAGTGGTAGAAACTTTAATTGTTGGCTACTTTTTGGCTGTGTTGAAGGCATGAAAAATGATTTGTTCTTCCACGCAAAATCATCACTATCTGTTCCATTATTTTTAGTATTTCAATCGGAATAATCAGTTCATCGTTGTTATCCCCTCAACTAAAAAACAACTGATGGATATTAAAATACATTCTGTGGTTCGGATTATCGTAAACGGAAGTCCCTATTCCGTTTGTTACAACTCAGTTATTAAGTAATTTTATGAGTTTAGTACACGCCTCACAAACTGATGTGCGCTAACAAATTTGTGTTTTTACGATAAACTCATAATAAAACTTAGGATTAAAATGTACCAACAACATACTAGAATTGACTGTGTAGCTAGATTTCTTTGGGATTTGCGTTTGTACTTTGATAGACTTTATTCTCCCAGCTTTCTTTTGACCTTCAGACTTAACCTAAGTCTGTAATTGAAGCTTATTTTTACTTTTAATTACATTTGTGAATTAAAACTAACTCTTGTTAGTGGATTTACACCCTAATAGAAATTATACTTTATTATACTTAAAATACCAGTAAAACTGTACATGACTTCGGGCTGAATAATGATACTTGAAACTTATTTTGTTTCACAATTGATCTGAAGGTAAGTAGCTACAAGAAATAGCTTCTAGAAATGAGATTTATGTGATTGTTTCCTGAATATTTATTGGTGGTAATTATATACAACATGTAAGGCGAAATACTCAACTAAGTTATCTGCATTTTTCTAGACGTGGTTGTTTTTAAAGAACGCAAAAGTAAACTGTTATATAGATTTGTTATGTTATCTGTTTTGACAAAGCAGTATCATTTGCTTAACAGAAACACATTTTATCAGTTTAAATTTAACAGCCTTTTATAGATGAAACCTAAACTTTACGAAAACACCATGGAATTTTGTTGATACAGTGACTTAAATTTAGTGCTCACTAAGTTTACACTTTCTAATATATATACGCGTCTAATCCCAAAATGAAATTAGTCACCGGTAAGAAGTTTTATGTATAAGGTTTATAGACACTTCTGGACTGTTAATAAATTTTATAAAGATTTCAGATAGATATTAAAAACAGTAAATCATATTTATCTTCACCTTTATTTGAATACGCGCCTGATCAAGAGCTTGTTGATTCTTTTCATTGCTCATTTTGAGTTCGTGGAACTTTTTTTCGTAAATTTCAAGCGTTTCTTTGACCTTAGAACAGCTTAGTCTAAAATGGTATTTAAAATTCATTTTCAGTTAATACTTTTCTTCCTTTAGTTCCTTTTCGATTGCTCTTGCTCTTTCTGTTAAGTCTTTTATTTCGTTTTGATTTGAACACGCTTTTTCCTAGTTGGTGGTAATTTCGTTAGAATCATATCCTACTTCTAAATGCTTGACCAAAGCTTCAGCTTTTAAACAATTCTCATTAGCTTTGGCGCAATTTCGGCTTTCACAATTTAGCTGTGTGTGTAATGAGCCGTTGTTAATCTTTCAAAATATAAACGATATTTTAATACTAGTTACCTGCAATTTTTCGTTTTGGATCTGACATTTTTTCAGTGCATCTCTCAGAGCGTTTTCACTTATATGGTAAAATTCTATTTCTTTCTTCAACTCAAAGACCTTTCTGTTTAGGTTTACCTAAGGTTATTTTTTTCATGTATAAACTATCTTATTTACTAACTAGGTTTTCTCTGTCGATCTTCGAGATTTCACTTTCCATTACTAAATCAACTTCAAAAAACGTTATGTTTTAAAATCAGTTTTACCGCATGTGTGATACAGGCTTGATTCGAACTTGTGGATAACAATCGATCTAAAAGTGTGAAATGTAAATACTGCGTTTTACCTTTCGTTCATTTTCTGGACTAACTTTCTGATGTTTTGCTGTTCATCTTTTAGATTAATGACCATTTCTTCTCTGCCGTTTCTTTGTCGAATCTGAAATGAAGTTAAATTAGCTATCATGTTTTCTATTCTGTTAGTAAAGCATTTAAAGTGGCTTCGTAACGTCGTTGTCCTGTTTTCAAGATGAATGAACTTTTTGTTAAGAGTATTTAACATTTCTAATACGTATACATTCTTGTCTCTAATCTTTTCAACTAAATCTCTGAGATCATCAGTTTCTTTACTGTTATTTTTCAGCGTATATTCGGCGTTTTCTCTAGTTATCTGGAAAAAGTGTTTGGTTACTTTTTATCATACTTTTTCCTCTGCTATAGCATCTTCCAGGAGTTTAATCAGTGACAAATTTCTTTCGTTGGTGCACATTAAGGTTTTCTCCAACTCCTTAAGCTCAACTAATCAGTTACTTTAGAATAGAGGTGACAAACTGTTTTCAGTGCTAAGCTGATCAATCTCAGTTTGCAGCTGAACTATATCGTTGTGATGCTTTTGTTGCCAATGAAGAAGCTCATCTTTCTATAAAAATTAAGTTTTTATAAATAATAATCCTACCAATATTTCGTTTTTTTCGTCCATTGCAATATTTGATTTTTGTAGTGTTTCCAGATCCAATATCTTACCTGTAACTGTTTCATTTTACGAAACTGCCGAGGAAGTTACCTAATTTTTCTGATTCTTTAAATTTATCTGAACATTTGTTTGAATGCTCAATGAAGTTGTCTTTTATCGTCTTAAATATAGACAGGAGAGAATTATGTACGATTTCCGATTGACAAAACTTGCTCTTAACTGTTGAAAATTACATTTTTATTATGAATTCACTTGTTAGATTTGCTTCCATTAATTTTTCGGCTTTGAGCTCCAATGTTGTGCACTGCTGCTTGATGGCTGAAAGCCTAAATTGCATGTATTTTAGGAATGAAAGTCATTTTACTGTTCAGCCAATTTTTCTCTTACAGCTAACTCATCTTTATATTTTAAACTAACGGTTTCCATATTCATCTAAATGAAATATTCATTTGATTTCTATCAGTACTTGTAGCTCAAGGTTTGCCTTTCGCAAGTTTTCGACAAGTGATTCATAGGACTGCAGATCTAGACACTATTTGGAGAAAATATATATTTATTATTCATACTTTTTCCTCTAATTTTGATATGGTACAACACTTCCATGTCTCAAGATTTTCCGCCTCTTGTCTTAAGCGCTTGTACAAAAACTTGAGACTAAACTATGAAATACATGGTACATTTTACTTGTCGCATAATGTGTCTGATTTATCTTCAACTGAAAACTCAGTGACTGCTTTGTCATGAACTTTGTCAGGGTGGGTCTTCACCTCTCCCGTATAATCTTGACATATTTTGGAGGCTTGATGGAAGTAAACGGAATCCTCAGAGCTGGTTGAGACATTATGTGCGTCTGGTGATTGCATAAAAGAGGCACTAGGTTTTTTGCTGAGAAAATTCAACATTGGCGATTCTGGAGCTTTTTTCGGAACTGCCATGTCATCTAGCGGAGAATGGGGTCTAGCGTGATCAAAACTATCTAAAGAAATGATAGGCTTGTTAACGTGTGGTTTCTGCGACGCATTTCGCAAATTGATTATCTTGGGTGATTCTGGAGTAAACTGAACTGTATCTCTTTTCTTGGATTCATCACCAAATTTAAGCATTTTGCTCCATTTATTATCACTCCAGTTGGTTTTTGAAGACGTAGACAAGTTGGTCTCATTAGAAGAGATAAACTGATCACTCTCAAAATAGTCATCGTCATCTAAATCACAGGTTGAACTTGCGTTTCCATCTTCCAGCCCTTTCCAAATCAAGGAGGACGGCTTTTTACTGTCAATTCGAGATGGCTCTGAGAATCCAACCGGATTCAATGAAGTTTCTTCTTTCCTGAACTGGCGGAGAAACGAACTCTTCATGAACATCTCACGATAACTAATAGTCGTGTCGAAAAAACGTGAACCAGTTATCGTGCTTATTCAGGCTCCAATACTCTGATGTCTTTTCCAAGAGAGATTTTCTGATAATCAACCACATTTTCTCTTGTTGTGACTAAAAATTATCATTTAATTATTTTTATTACGCAAAAATTACTGATAACGATCACATGAGTTCTATGGTCCGTATGGATTTCACTTTAGGTTTTAGAAAGAATAATTAATTTTATAAAGCCGTTTACAACAGCTGGCGCCGTCTAGTCAGTTGGTCATCAGGTGGTCTTTCACATAGAGCGCTTGAAATACAGAAACGAAAATGATGATTTTGACGTTGTGATGTCAACGCAATGTAAATTTGCACACAACAATGTTCTATACTTCGATTCAAGTAACTTTGTGTTACCCGTGGTTAATTGTTTAGTTCATGCTCTCAAAAGGGTTTCATTAAAAATACAAAACGGAATCGTTAATATTATTTTCCATTGGTGTTTTTCTGTGGAAACTTTGTAATTACCTTATATAAATGAATGAACATTATTGAGTAAAAGTTGATTTAATTTCCTGCTGTTGTTGAACAAACATCTAACCGGTATCCACTACCATTTATTCCAATTTGTAAAGGTTCTAGGGAGTCACTCATCCACCATTTTATCCTCTAACCCATTCGTCAACACACTAACCGCAAAAATACGCTGGATATGCTGTCCATTTCTGCAATAAGTAATGCGTAAGGAGGAAATGACTACTATGAAAGTTATGGTTTTTCTGATAAGCTATCGGAATGTCTGGATATTTTATTAAGCTTCGAAGTTTTTTTATGTTCACTTCAGCGAAGCTGTCAGGTGTTACGGTCTTCAGAGTTATAAAACATAATAAAAATCGCCCTCCCTCCTCTTGTTTAATAATAATTTAGCGAGCCCGTGTGAATAAATATTAATTGTGAGGTTGTTGATCATATTAACCTGACCAGTTTGACTTCATTTACGGAGCCCTGAGAACTGTCTGTTACAGGTCAAGTGAGAAATACTGAACCAATTCTGAACTATTTTCGTGAATATCTTTTTTACTGGTTTTTGATATATATGTTCTAATAGAGCGTTTTACTCAAGTTCTTTGTCATTTTGGCCTTAAACTTACGTTTTCTATCTAGTCTTTGATTTATCGTTCTACGTTTGACTCTAGAAACTTATTGTGAAATGCATTATTACATTTATTACATAGACTATTATTTTAATGTCATTAAAGAGGAAGAATGTATTTGTAAAATCTCAGCGAAAGAATTTGAAGTAAATCCAATGTTTCGCCTGGCAATCTGGTCCAAGGTGAATAAGTCATCCAGTATACAGTAAACCAGAGAACAATGTACCTAATTATATTCGATAATTTTGTCGTTTGATTATATTTTCCTTGAAAAAGCTTGGATCAGATTGCCAGGTGAAACATTGGATTTACTTCAAATTCTTTCGCTGAGATTTTACAAATATATTCTTCCTCTTTAATGACTCACATTAACTGGGCGCTCAAATATTGTGAAACTATTCGTTCAAATTTAGAGAGAGGTTCTTATTTATTATTTTGATGTCTTACAATATCAAATAAAACGTCAGCATCACAAGTTTGAACTTTTGGTATTGTCATTATTTAAGTAAATCTTGCGAGTTCATCAACCATCATTATTTGAATCGAATCAGAACCGGAAATTTACACAAATACTGTTACCACATCAAAAGGTTTATAAGTATGATACGACTTTTGTCTGTTTTCCATCTTCTGTCACCTAATTTGAAGGAACACTTAAGTTTCCGTTTTCGTAAACGAACAAGTGTCTATGTTTAAACTCATGAGCATATGTTAGGTTGGCATGCACTGGTGTAATGAAACCAAGTGTTATTTTAAGCATCTGTCTTTATGAAAATATGTAATGTTTGTATTCATTGACATTTCACTTTCGCATTACTGTGCCTGTGATTCTAGTTACAATATGGTGGTAAAAGTGTAAACGGTCTTATTATTTACTTGAATTCTGGTATTTTCGTGACTATGATATTACATACATCAATTATTACTGCTGCCTACGTTTATCATATATATCTCTGCAGTTCGAAGACTAAATCAAATACTTCCATCATCAACTATTCGTCCGAAAATTATTACACTCTTAGGAACGTCAGAAAACTTACAGTTGTCTAAGAAATCTAGCAGGATCAGTTAGAAAAGTGATTCCATTACAATTGCTATTACATCATATGAAACCAAAATGATTACAAGATTATTTGAAAAATTCCAACCATTTTTAAATAGTGACAAGCTCTGATGTTCACTCTAGTTTGAGCATTAGTTCGATACAGCTGAAAATGCCACATGTATTCGAAGTTTAACACTTTTGCCAATAACACCTAATATGAATCGTACCCATCAAGTGAAATCAAGAGACGGAAGCACGGAGGTTCAAAGATATATTTGATAGGCTATCAATATATCGTGGATCGGTTGATCTAATCTAGATAGCGATTGTAAGGGATGTTGAGCACGACGTTCCCACTCGTGATCTGGTGCGGATGAATGACCGAGCGCCTTCAGCTAGATGAGCCCATTAAAATTAATGTGGTCAGCATCCAATATCGAAGACCTGCAGAACTATTGATGTGAGGATTTATTTGCCGCTACAGATCAGTCCCCCTCAGTGGGGTAGTGATTGCCCTAAGAAGTGGCAAGCCAGAAGTTTAAAACCAACGAGCCTGTTGTTAGTAAAAATTCTTCAGGCAGCTTGCTAGATTTAGCAGCGTTGGATCGTCTTTCCCTACTATAATGGACCAGGTAGTACAATATAGCAATAAAAAAATTGCAATGAAATTTCCAGTTCATCGTTTGTAAGCATTTACGTGTAGGAGGTTAGTTCCATGTTCATTAAAAAAGATCCACGAATGCTCCTGGAAGCTGAAGAGTTGTTCTAAAAACGAGTTGGGCCACAGTGTATCAAATGTCAGCTTTCACTGTACTGCAAATACATGGTAAGACGATAGGAAGAGCGTCGGACCATGTGCAACAAATTAAAGACATTTCCAACCTACGTCTATCTGATATAGTAAAAGGTGGAAGGAATACAACAAGACTTTACCCGCAAAGTACTTAAGACTGACTCGGTCATTGACTACAGTTCCCGATGCCAAATCTTAGGAATAGCACCCCTTTGGGAGAGAAGGCTTAGGTCTAATTTGATTCTCTACTTCAAACTACTCAAAAACCTTACTTACTCAACATGTCAGATAATTCTTGCCCGAGATTCACATGAATACGAACTTCGAAACAAAGTATCTACGGTCAAAGTTGAGAAATACAGATCAAAAACTCGGGAAAACTTCTTCCTCACCAAGTATGCAATAATATGGAACAGTCTTCCTTCCGAGACTCGCATGGCAGATGAACTACATACGTTTGTGAAACTGCTTGATCAAGCCCTCACTCGCACTGATCTTGCACGTACGAACACATCTGCACCCCACTCAGACATCATAGGCTCTCTCCATGTCTAGACCAAAATGGACTTCAAGTTCAGTTTGCCTTATTTTTCCTACTTTGCAGTTGTATTAATTACTTTTTCCACCCCATTTCTTCACTTGAAGTAGACACGTAACTCACTGGACATATCATTACTGTTAAACTAAACTCGGTCGATAAGGGACACTCACTACCACCCTAAAAAGTAAAGAGGACCCCACAATCGGCTGCCTACTACCAGTGGTCTTGCATTTATGGAACCTGTTACCAATCAACTGGTTAAGACAACAGAAAATAACATCAGCACCAAGTTACTGTGAGTTCCTTCCTGTTTATCCTATATTAACTTTTTACTCTTCTGTACACTATGTTGACTAGCAATTAGTATTATTTCTCCACTCGTTCCCTTATCCACAACTCATACTTCTATACTTTTTCCGCCTGCTTAAATAAACAACTATCCTACAATATACCCTTCTTAACGCTTATACTCTGTTTGGCAAACTATACTTTATACTATAGTCAACAGAGGCACTGTATCGATGCTTTACCCACAGTCCACAGCTTGTAACTGCCTGATAAGCTTGTAAAATGGTACTTATAGAAATAGTGCTTTCCAACAAGTTGTGAAACAGAGGAATGTGTGAGGTATGACGTATATACAAAAATAAGCTTAAATGAGCCTAACATCACAAAAGGAGGGAGGGTGGAGTTACTGACCAGCAAGCATTGATGGTGAGGGCGATAACTTCAATCCACCCGTGTTTGTGGGGACAGAACATTTTGTATGTATCAGGATTGTGTGGCTGGCATCGGATGGACAAAAAAAAAGAAAAGAAAGGAAGAAATTAGACAATACAAAAATGTCGTTATTAGTATTCTTGACACTTCACTCTCTATATACACACTCCCTTCTAATAAACCGCTTTCCTTGTTCCAATCTTGACTTTCTTTCCTCCATGTGAGCCTTCTGCAACTCGTTAAACGACACAACTCATTGTTCTTCATTACTACATTCTCTTATGTGGAGCCTCCGACTTCATTTCACTCTAACAAGAGATGACATGAATATAATCTAATTCGATATACCTCTGTCTGTTCTACTACACAATGTTAAGCAACGTTTAGAGTTCATATCCAAGTACCTTGTTGCTCTTCTGTTTCTCTTTTTCTTCTTCAGAATCTTGCTTTGAGTGCACAGCTATGAAACTTCTGACTTTTGAAACAAACTTGACGTACGCGTCCCCTCAAGGTCACAGTTTACAGCAAGCGCTCTACGGGTATACTTTATAACAACTATAAACCTAATAAGTTGCGAAGCATTTTGTGAACCAACAAGTGTTGTATATTATAGATCATGCCTGTAAAAGTGGCGTATGCCTGCGCATGCAGAAATATATTATTATTACTATTATTATTATTATTATTATTATTAAGCGAATTATTAATAGGGTCAGAATGTGACTAAAGTAGAATGAATGGATTGTTTT